TTGTCCGACTGGTGATATTTGTTGTTTTCTTTTCTTTGAAGCGCTTGCCAGTGGTCTGTCGGTCGGCACCGGGGGTCTCTGTGGTGGTTTTCACATTTCGACTGGCACCTGAAGCAACCGGCGGGTGGGGGAGTGTGGGGGGGGGGGGTTCGGCCCCCGCAAGCTGAGACTCCACTTTGATGTCGAAAATTGCCACTGAAAGAGATTTTGCAGAATCTCAGATTTTCTTGTGTTTGCACTGTTGTTTGAAAGGGAATACGATTCAAATTCAGCGCCGCACTTTCGGGCAGCTGACTGAAGACAAGCAGCCTTTGAATCCGGCTCTTCGCGGGATGAATTGCTTCTTTTGTTTTTCTCCTGTCCTGCTCTCCGGCGTTGTCGCTTTGAACTCACTTCTTCCTTTTGCTGATGGTGTCGCGTTTCCTCTAAAGCCGAGCGCAGGCGGACTATCGAGTTCTGGATACCGATGTGATGGCCGTGAACCAGTGGGCCACACACACACACACACACACACACACACACACACACACACGCTCTTCCTAGAGAGCGGCAACGATTTGAGGCGCTTGAGCTCCGATGTTTTGCTTTGTAACTAAAACTAACTAAAGCTTAAGTCGCTCCATTGGGCCCCAAATCCCGGAGCTTAGTGAGTCCGTTCCCTGTTTTCTGGAAAAGACGACCTGTTTGCGTTACCGCGGCGATCGCTAAGTCTGAGCGAGGCCTCCGGGTCCGTGGGCTGAAAAATCACCCTAGTTAGTGTTAGAGAATCACTGCCGAGCGTCTTTGAGCTCAACTGCGTTCACAGCTGTGAGGAACGTAGACGTCCGCTGCGTGGGTCCGTCTCGTGGGGAGGGGGGGGGGGGAGCTGATGTAGCCTCGTTCCTTTTTAACACGTGTCTAATGGGACCTCGTAAACCTGTCACTGGATTGAAGCAGAGCCGACGGATGGATCGGGTCTTCATGTGGAAAAGAAGAGAAGAAAGATGATTTCTCCCCCCTCCCCCCCCGCCGTGAGGCGGCAGACAGTTGGAGCCGGGAGAGCCGCTGGATGCTGCTATCTGGTTTTTCCCTCATCATTTGACAATCTCTTCTTTTTGGACTTCCCACGAAGCTCCGCGGGAGATGTTTTTTTTTTCCTCGCTTTATTTTATTTTTTTGGGGGGGGGGGGGGGGGGTGATCTGGCCCGTGTCAAAATCCCTGAGAGGTTCTGGGCTCCTCGCCGTGGACGGTGCGATAGGGGTCACTGTCTCATAATGATGAATCCGTCGCTGCTTTCTCTCAACCGCTCAGATCTTTGAATTATTTTGCCCTCCCACCCTCCCCCTTATATCACACATTTCAGTTTTCATCCGCTGTTGGCCTTGTCCTTCCTGACCCCCCCCCCCCTCCCCCGTCCTCGCTCCTCTCCTCACCCACTTCCCCCAACACACTCACAGTCCGCGGACATCACGCCTGCACGTCTCATGTGATGGAGGCGTATGGTTTCCATCACGTGCAATAAAAGAGATGGAGCTTGAACCGGGCCACACATGGAGACGGTGTCGGTTTCCCGCCGGGCCCCCGAAAGCCATCGCATGAACTCACAACCCTTTGGCCCCAATTCCGCACTTGCGCTCATCGCGCCGTTGGCCCGTGCGCGGCCTGGAAGTGAGCTCAGTGGCCATCGGGAAGTGTGTTCTGCGTGGATCTTGGACGTGGTCACCAGGACCTCCGCTGCGATCGGCGCTTGTGCAGTGGATTGTGTTTAAAGTGTTTGTGATGTCATCGGCAAGTCACTAATTCATGTCCACTGAAAGTCATGCAGCCCAACATCCGCTCACACACACACACACACACACACACACACACACACACACACACACACACACACACACACACACACACACCTCATGATGCCAATGGGAAAGCTGAGCGGGGTATGACTCATTGAGTCATTACTAACCAGAGCCCCCATCTCCCTCCTCACCGTGAAACCTCTTGGCTTATAGATCACAGCGGTTCACAGATCCTGTAAAAGGAAAACTTCTTTCTGTTTGAGTAATGAAGGACAGATGACTGATTAGGACGAAAAGAAGATCCACCAATCCGCTTCGATCCTGGACTTCACTGTCTCTGAGATGTAATGAAGGTGATAAACACAAGTACTGTACTGTTGTGTACAATTTAACACACTGTGTGCACATTGTTTTTATGTGATTGTCGTGTATTTTAGGTTATTCTGAAGGCATCATTTTAGTTTTCACAAAAATGGTAAAAACAATGTCACTTATCCCCCATTCATCCCATGCAGGGTCATGGGGTTGAACCCGGGGGATGATGGGAATGTTAACTTCTCATTGTTTCGTTTGTTTGTTTTCGCTCTTTCTTTCTCTTCACTGCCCAGAAATAGTGAAAAAAAACAGTCACCTCCTCTTCTGAGTATTTCTGACGTACAAAGTGTAGCACTGTGTACAGTAATCTTACATACAGGACTTCCTACTCTTGGCTTGACTTCTTGCACGGCTTCTTGTTTGTGTTGAACTCCTCTGCGTGGCTTTGATGTCGGGTATAATCTGCTCCCTCGTTCCTGGAAAGGGGTCGAGTGTGTGTGTGTGTGTGTTTTAATCGAGGCAGGGATCCAAATCACAGTTTGAGTGACCTCAGCTCACGGCTTTGTGTTCTCATCCGTTGCCGTAGCGTCGCTCTTGAGTCTTTTAATGAGCAGGGGCCCCTTGTGTTTTAAGTTTTGGGCAAACGGATGGATGAAGTATAACGTTTGGGTCCCTTGTTTCAGGAAATAGAGACTCGGTGACGCTCAGTTATCAAGGTGGACACGATCCAAATATTATTTCAACGTTTTGCAGGAAACAATGGAGACTTTATCCGGCGGGATTACCGCGTTGTTGTTTTTGGGAAGGCGCTTTGTCTTTGGAGGATCAGTTTTGTTACGCCGTGAGCAGCAAAAGTGTCGTTGTCGGGCTCGCGGTCCGAGCACCCTGGACGAAGGGTGTTTCCGCGGGTTGCGGTCGGTCGGGCCGCCGGATCCGAGTCCGATTTAATGACGAGCAGCCGACCCAAAGGAAGCAGAGTCTCCGAAAATTGAAACTGCGAACAAGGAGGTCGCTGTTCACTTGTGTTTCCCACAGTCTGCTTCTCTTCTTCCTAATTTTGAATATTTAATACTAAAGTTTTTTTGTTTTTTTTTAACTTTAGGATACTTCACCCATGTGTTGGGATTGGCGCATCTGGGGCCTCTATCTGAGAGTGTGTGAAAGACGTCCGTCCTGTCGGCCTGACGTCCGTCTGGCCGCTTGTCGTGTTGAGCGACGCCAAATGAATAGTTCATTTCTGTTATTTGTCATTGAGGAGGGGAATTCGTATTTGCTACATAAGACAAACAAGTTGGATATATAACATTGTGCAATAGTGCTAAGATGCAAAGAGAAGGGATCAACACTTGACATACCAAATACCTCCAAGTCTGAAGAGGCTCCAGCTGCTCCTCCGGATACGGAGCCGAGACCTCCTTTTAGCTGCTTGTGTCGTCGGCCATGTGCGCTGTGCGAAGCTCTCCGCTCATCCGCGGAGCGCCTGAGGACCGTCCGTCATCGTGCACCGGAGTGGAAAAGCCTTTTCGGCCTGTGTAGTAGTTCATCTCAGCGCTGCAGGTCGGCAAACACCGGCAGCCTGTTTGGATCGGAGCCGTCGAGTCGGGCAGCGGAGCTTCGACTGCTGCGAACCGACGAAACCGACGCGCCTGTTTTATTGTGGAAACACGGACGGCCTTGAACTTCAAACATGTCAGCGGTTATGAATGATTCCCGAAAGGCATCATCACTTACGGAGGCCGTGCTCCCGGGGTGCACTTCTCCGCTTACAGTCAGCGGCGAGGGAAGACTTCGCTGAGCCCTCGTGCACAGCTGCGTGAGCATCTTGAGCTCAGCAACTGGCTCCACGGCCACGACATGTCGGCGATGCATGTGCACTTCTAAATCCATTCATTGATGCCCTTCGCACCATCTAGATCAGCCATGTTTTGGGGTTCTGACAGCTGAGGTACCTCTCAGGTGTCATTCTGCAACTCAAGAAGAAGTTCGGGTTGGTATTTAGGGGCCATTTAGGTGCCATTTGAGGTGAAGAATCCAAACCACGCAGGTTTTTTTTTTTACCGTAAATCTTGTCTTCCGTTGGCCGAGTGCTAAACGACCTCCCTTCCAGCTGGACTCGGTGCTCTGCGACTCGCTGAGCGTTAACACACATCCGTAGGGTCGAGTCGTTACCGTCGAGGAACCCAGTGTGGGGATCAGCGCTGTCATTTCAATCCGTTGAAGTATTACCTTCATGCATTAAACGACCTCCCAGCCGACGATGGTCGTGTTGTGTGATCGTTGTGCTGCCAAGTTGAATTAAGAGCTTTTGCTTAGTGTGGCAAATGTGAAGCGAGTTTCATTCCAGGTGCATGAAAACCAGAACCCCCCCCCCCACCACAGACACACACACACACCTCGAACCTTTCCACACACACAGAGACACACTTCCTGAATAGAAAATGAAACACAGCTGTGTTCCCGTCAGCGCTGTGGATCTGTCATGAAAGTTATCCCCTTTATTCCACCAGTGTCCCCACTAGCGGAGGCATCTCAGGTTGAGTTTTAAGTTTAAAAAAAAAAATGCTTCACAGAGAACGTGATTTGTCTCTGTGCTCAGGAATGAGACGTCGTCTGAAAAAGAGGAGGTTTATGCCGAGTTCAGGAAAACAAGCACGTCGCTGAGTGTAAACAAACCAGTGGGGGTCGGGGGGGGGGGTTGTTTTTGTGTCCCTTGCCCCCTCACCACCCAGGCCCTCGGGGGAACTGCTCTGACTCTTTAATGTAGTCCACGGTTGTTTGTCCAGATGTGGGAGTCGTGGAACGCCGTCGGTCCCCCGGCTAACACTAAATTCTACCCACGTGAACGTTTTTTGCTCCGGGACAGAAAAGGAAACCTGGATTTGACTCATGTGGTCTTTCTTTCCTTGCAGGGATCCAGGAGGGCACCCAGTGCACCAAGTGTAAGAAGGAATGGGCGCTGAAGACCTCCATCGCTCTGCTCTACGTGCTGTGCACTCTCCTCACCATCGCCGTCGCTGTGCTCGGCTACAAAGGTAGCTGCTCCTCTTGCCTCACCGCGACCCGATGGGTGTAATTACTGGAGGACACACATTCAAACGTATCATTTGGTTTCTCTGTGTCCTGCCGAGAAATGACAGCACTGCTGTTTTAGAAGCGAGAGAGAGCGGTCATCGTCCTCACCAGAGCGGCCTTCTGCGCGACACGTGAATGTTATTTGTTAGTGTTACTTTGTCGTTATGGAACAGGAGATGGATCGGTAATGGAAAATGTGAGCAGGGGAACACTACACCTAGCTTAGCTTAGCGCAAAGACTGGAAGCTGAGGGAATCAGCTAGCCTCCGCTGGCTAGAGGGAAAACAAAATCCACGTCCCGGGAATTTGCAAACCTCATTAACGGAATCTTTGACTGGTCCTTCAATCCGAGTCGTATGTGGCCAAGCAGATCTTTTTTTTAAGGACCTCGAATAGATCTGTGGAATCCGGAGTGATTTGCGTGAACGGACACTTCCGTCTCCACCCCCCCCCCCCTCCAAAAGAAACCTTGACTTGGTTTATTTGACCAACACCCCCGAAGCGCACTGCTCCGGATAAGCTCTCCACGCTTCGTACGGCTCCACTTCCTTGTTGCCGTTTTCCCATTTTTCTCCTGATTGGGAAACTTTGGGAAAATGTTTCTGCCATAATTGAGCTAAACACTCCAACGTGGGCCTGCGCGTGACTCCTCCTTCTTTCCTGTTTTGTTAAAGTTCACGTTGTTCAGTAGTGTGCGATCGAGTGTATTGACCTGTATTCTCTGTGGTCCTCGCTCTCTGTGAGCTCGGCCGGTCCTCCTCGTTTTCACGGCGCATGTTTTCATGCGGGAGCTAATTGATCCCAGATGAGCGGCGAGTGAACTCGGCAGAACCCACCGAAAAATTGGGTTTTTACTGGCACCGGAGCGCCGCTGCCTGCGTCAAGGGAACCACGGCTCACGCTAAAGCTTCTCCCAGCTCCAGATGGTTTGCGCAGCCAGAGCCGGGCTGCTCTCTGCAAACCGGCATGTGTGCTTCCCTCTGTCCTCACTCACTGACCCACAGAAACGTCCTGCTAGCGACTCTTTTGTTTTCGCCGCTCGGCGACTTCTGTCTTCTCTCTTGCAGCCAGCAGAAGCAATCAGTGGGTCGTTCCGTGGACTTTGGAGGGTTCTTGCTGGAGTGTTACAGAGTCCATTTATTACTTTGTGACTAATTGTGCCTCTGCAACGCCATGCGTTTGCATTTCACAGCTTTAACACTTGGATGATTTTATCACCAGAGTGAAGCCAGATGTGAACGCGCCGTACCTCCCTGGGAGACGTATTTGTTGTTTCCTGCATGCGGTCCCGTCACACCGGTCGGTCGGTCGGTCCGTCTAGCGGAGTCCTGACATCACCTCCAGGCTCGCTGCTGCTCCACCAGCATCCGTCTCCCGCTGAATGAATCCCTCGCAACGAATGGAACGAGTCACTAGCGTTTCTAGACCGAGGCAGCGCCGCTTTCGCATACCACATTTGTGCTATTTCTGACTTTATATACACCGGGAAGCCAAGGAAGGTTTTAGGAACCACTCATGCAAGAGCTGGAAATAACTGCATACAAAAAAAGGAAGAATTGTCAATTGTTCAGAAGTAATGCTGAACAGTTGCTGAACTGTAACGTGTGTTTTGTGGCCGCGGTGTGACGCAATGAGCCGTACACGAAGTGTCTTCTGTGCTCTGCGATGCCGAACTGTCCGTCCTGCGTCTGGGAAAGAGCCCCGTGTAGTTTGGTGTGTGGGACATTTCCTGTCCAGCTGAGCGTTTTCTCTCATAATTAAAAAGAATTTGGTCATCTGAGGATGTTTGTTACTTGAAAAAACATAAAGTGTGTTTCTTGGACCACAAAATGGGAAAAGAAAAGAGGGAACAATAAAACTGCTTTTTACAATTTTGGTCAAACATTCATCTTCCTATTTGCAGTTTCCAAAACATCTCAATGTCTGCTACCCAAGAGGAAAGTAAAATAACAATAAAATAAACGATGATCAGCACTGTAAAACCACAATGACTGAGCTGCTGACTTTGCCTGCAAGCTCTGCCCCCCCCGTTTCTAGTCTCCATGCTAAGCTAAGCTAAGCGGACCAGAGGCTGGTGGAAGCTTCATCCTCAGCAGGAACACACGAGGGTCGTATCAATCTCCCCATCTCACTCTCTCAGCAAGAAAGCAAATAAATGTCCGTGTTTTGCTTATGGTGTAATACACACGGGATATGAACTATTGGCTAACTGTAAAATCACATATTTAAAGGCCATTTTAGTGCTAATCGGGCTACGAATAACAGGCTTTACCTGTGTCCCTTTTTGGAGGGATTTGAACCAGATCAGCTCTGCTAATGAAAGCCTCGGGGCGCAACTGTTGCGGGGGGCAAACATTTGGGATGCAGCTTCCCAGCAGAGGAGTCCACGGAGCTCCCTGTTGGAGGACGTGTCCCCCTGGCGAGGCTGGTGGTTGAAGTGGGCTGACTCCCTGGAATCCCAGACACATTCCAGAGGAAATGAACGCCGGTGTCGCCTGTGGGGGCGTGAAGAGCCTCCCTGCCACAGCGTCTGTCTCCTCTGGGCTGGGCTTTGATCCGCCTTTTTTTTTTTTTTTACTAAAGAACCCCTCCCGGGTCACTTCCTGTCCCCTGGGGCCCTCGCCACAGTCTCCCCATGCAGCACCACCACCGTCCTTGGTGTCTATCATTGACCACCCACTCCGTCGCTGCAGAATCAATGTTTCTTGCTGCCTCCTTCGGTCTCTTTTCGCTCTGCCTTCTTTTTTTCTGCCGTCTCTTGACTCGATATTGAGTCGCGCTGATTTTGTGCGTCTCCCCGCCGCCCTCTAAATCTGGCCTAACCCAAGAGATTACATTAATCGAGCCCAGCATTATTACATGCCTACAAGACGCGTAGACGCATCTCCTTTAGTCAGCGGTTTCCTCTCTGATCCCTTTCATATATCATGTCTGTGGTTGCAGGCCATTCAGGTCTCTTAATAAAGCGCGCAGCCTGTGACGAGGCTTTGACACTAACCTTTGTCCTGCCTGTCCGGTTGTTCTTTCCTGCTTTCCAGTCGTGCAAAGAGTGGACAACGTGTCTGAAGGTATCGCAAACTACGGAGGAAAGATAATTGCCGTTGAGACAGATTTGAAAAAGCTCGGTAAGTGTCTGAGTACCTGTGCTCAAATTGAAGTAGAGGCTAAAGTGAGAGGTTGAAACATTTTTCTGTTGTAATTTACTGCACGAACCTGCGCCTTCAGATGATCGAGCAGGGGAGAAGTCGGAGAATACCACCACAGAGATCCAGGCTTTCAAGAACAACATCTGGGCTCTCCAGAGGCAGCTGTCTGCGGTGGAGGAACGCGTCCACAGAGATCAAGTTAAGCTGACTCAGCTGCAGAACATCGACTCAGACATTCAGAACAGCCAGGGCTCCGTTCGGGGACTTCTGGAGAGCAACACAGCCGGCTTGCACACGGTAAATGGCACCCTGCAGTCTTACGGCGGCATAATCGGCGGTCTGCAGCAGGACACGGCCCGGCTGCAGAAAGAACTCCAGCAGCAGGTGAAGCTTCAGGACCGGGCGCTGCTCAGCATCAGCAGCCTCAACTTCACCCAGGCCCAGCAGAGAGGCCTCATCGCCGTCCTGCAGCGCTCAGTGGATGACACCACTCAGGCCATCCAGAAAATGCGCAGTGACTTCCAGGGCCTCGAGCAGATGGCGCGACAGACGCGGTCCGACGCGGAATGGCTCCGCAGTAAGGTGGAGAACCTGCAGGTCATGGCCAGCAATGCCTCGACTCTCGCAAAGGCCAACAACGACAGCCTGGAGGAGGTGGGATCCCAGCTGGCGTTTGTGGCCAACCAGCTCCAGAACACCAGCAGCCTGGCGGACGCTCACGACCAGAGGCTGAGGGAGATCCTGGACGAGCAGAGGGACTTCGGTAACCTCACGTCCGTCAAGTTTGATCAGCTGGAGGTGCGGCTGGACGAGTTCGAGCAGAGCGTGGACCGGGTCACCGGCAACATCAGCTTCACCACGCAGCTCCTGGGCGCCATCAACCTCAACCTGAACGACCTGCGCACCTGTTCCGAGACCGTCGGGCGCCACTCTGATCTCTTGGTGAACCTGAACAGCAGCGTGACCGACATGAGGACAGACGCAGGGAGTCTGAGGTCCCAGCAGGACGAGCTGGCGGCACGCGTAGACAAGGAGGTCACCAGCCTCTCTATTGTCATGGAGGAGATGAAGCTGGTGGACACCAAGCACTCGCAGCTAATAACCAACTTTACCATTTTACAGGGTGAGGGATGTATGGCTGTGAATATTCTTTGGGGCAAAAAATATTTTTAAGAGTTTGTTGATTACAGTCAATCTTATATTTCAGGTCCCCCTGGTCCAAGAGGACCAAGAGGGGACAAAGGACCCCAAGGAACATCTGGTGGGCCTGGCCAGAAGGGAGAGAAAGGGGAAAAGGGTGTTCCAGGGATAAGGGGCGGCAGAGGAGAGCAGGGTATCCCTGGAGCACCAGGTCTGCCAGGGTTGAAAGGAATTCCCGGCGTGCCTGGTGGCCCCGGATCGAAGGGCTCCCGAGGGTCGGGGGGAAGGGCCGGACCTTCTGGGGCCAAAGGAGAGCCCGGTACTGCCGGTCTGCCTGGAAGAGACGGGCAGCCTGGTCCTCAGGGGGCACAGGGCCCACCGGGTATCAGAGGAGCAATGGGGTCACCCGGCGAGCAGGGGCCGAGGGGACTTCCGGGACCAATGGGGGCGCCGGGGCCGGCGGGATCACCGGGACAGCCAGGGCTCCCCGTCCAGGCTCCAGTACATCCTCCTGTGTCTCTGCAGGATGAAGCGGCAGCTCCCTCCCTTTGGGCGCCAGGTAGGCCTTTAGGTCTCATCACTGGTTTGAACGTCGCAGTTTTACATTTCTTACACCCGGACTAATAACACGTGGAAAACAGTTGACCAGTCGTTGAAAACACGCGGATGATTAGAGAAAAAAGTCAAAATATTGTGTTGTCCTGGAAAATTATTCTTCCATGATCTTCTGGTCAAACTATCCCTGCTTCCCAGAGAGGAAACCATCTGAAAGGGAAAAATTATGGTCAATATTATATCAACATTCAGAAGTTTATGGATCTCTATGGAGTATTGTAATTTACATTATTCTGCAAAATAACTGTAGTAGAAGGTTTATTTAAATCAGACTTCCACATAGAACATGTTGTATGTTATTTTCTAATGTTTTTTAATATAATGTGGTGGATTTGTCTTCCAGGATGCCCTGTGGATTGGGTCAACTACAAAGGCAATTGCTACTTTTTCTCCAAAAACATGCAGAACTTTGACGAGGCGAAGACCAGCTGTGAATCCACGTCTGCCTCGCTGTTGATCATCAACGATCGGGAGGAGCTGGTGACTAATGACTGAGTGTTATCTTGAGCACTGACATCCACGTGTACCGGGTGGGGAAGCCCGTCACTGCTCGGCCGCGAGTGAGGTAACCCCTCTGTTTTTCTGTCCTGGCGTGATCTCAGACATGGCTGAAGAAGCAGACCTTAGGAAAGGGATACTTCTGGATGGGCCTGACCGACCGGGAGGAGGAGAACGTCTGGCGTTGGCTGGACGGGAGCGAACCTGCTTTCACGTCAGTATTAATTGTTTACACGGGATATCTTTTCCCCAATGAGAGTAGTTGCCGTTTGAGACATGTTCAAAAATACCCCCCCGTGAGGTAATAACAAGCAGAAGGTTTACTCAGTTTATTCTCCTTCCACGAGACTCTGAGAGGAAATCCCTTAGAATGCAACGTGTGATCGCCCCCTCTTGTTTTCCTGCAGGAATTGGAAGCCCGGGCAGCCGGACGACTGGGGCCACGGACACGGAACGGGGGAAGACTGCGTGGGACTCATCCACGAGGGGCTGTGGAATGACGCCTTCTGTGAAGATCAAATAAACTACATCTGTGAGAAGGAAATGGAGACCAGTACGTCCGCCTCGGCCCTCTTCTTCATCCTGAACTTTCCCCGGGTTCCCTCCCTAGAGAGTTTCTTTTAACTTTTTTTTTTTTCGTGTCAGGGGAGGTGTTTGGCTCGTAGGGCGTTTGGGAAAAAGGGGGCTTCGAGGGAACAAACCCCCCCCCCCCCCCCCCCCCCCCCACCTCTCCTCTCACGCGTGGAACTGGTCCACCAGCACGATGGCACCACAGAGTCCGTACGAAGACAGTAAAAGGGACCAATGTTGAGGAGACGCCATCCTCCCCCCCAAGTGAAACCAGTCCAACATTACCAGCAAGTGCAATACAGCAGGGCAATCACAGAGGGAGGGCTTTTATTTTTCTAACTATCAAATCACCAATTCATTTATATATGTATATATATATATATATTCATATTTGCCTGGTAATTTGAAATACATTTTATACAATTTTATTCCACGTGCAACTGAATATCCGAATGTATATTTCATTATGCGAGTTTTGTCGGAAATGAAGAATTTTACAGAGCCAAGTGGACTCACCGTAGTGCTTTTCATAACTAATTGTCTTAAGATTAAATGGTGCGCAAAAAAAGCTGAGATGTTGCTGATATGCTGTTATCTAACCTCATGAATGTTTATCTATCCTTTTCTTTATATGAGCAAATAAGCCAATGAATCATTTACACATTAATGCAGAAGAAAGTCAGTCAGCTTGAGTTTTAGTTCAAGGCAGCACGTTTACAGTTTAATACTCTACGTATGGTACAGTATGTGGTTATTATGAGATTTATTTTTCACTATTACAGACCTACGCGAGTTTAGGAATATCAATCTGTGGATTTTTTTTCTACGAATATAAAATGTGCCATTTTCTGCACTCAGGTACCGTTTCCTGTGAAGAAAAACACTTGAGTTTAAACAACACTACGAATGAAGGAAACACTCACAAATAAATACGTGAAAACCCAGAAAATGTTTGCATTTGTTTCTTTTTCTCTCTTCATTTTTATGCCGATCCAGATGAACAAACCTGGCATCAGATGGCTCATCTGTCTACATGAGTGTGAAGGTCATCACAAAACTCTCCCCAGTATTTTAGAATTGAGTTTATTGATTTTTGCACAAAAAAAAGTAATTTTCACATTTCTATTCTTATGCTCTTGAAATATCATTTTTCCAGAGACTTTTGTTTTACTGTTTTTCTCCTCACGGACCCAGATTATAGACAAGTGTTGACTTTCTTCAATAACCGCGGACTACGCAACATTTCCTCTCAATCATTTCCCGTCCTGTTTGCCGCTTCAGCTGCACAGAAGAATGAGATGATCTCAAAAACAGCGGCTTTCTATCGACACGCACGCGAGATTCTTCCTGTTAGAAAACAAACCACAGCGACTGAAGACTGCGAGTGCTCACAGAAATCTGAATTAAAGTCTCACCTACAGCGTCCGATGGAAAAGCTTTCAGAAGACTCAAATTCATTTGACATAGTAAACATCAAAGCAACATGGAAGTGTGTTAAGTGTTAAGCTAAGAACACGTTATGTGAATAAATTATCTTTAAGAAATATGCTTACTATTAACCGCTCATTTCACATTGTATCATTTAAAAACGTACACAAAAGAAGCAGCATATTGTCTAAATGTAGATTTATTGTTGAGGTATGATTAAACTGAATATTTTCTTTTTTTTTTACAGCCAAGCTACTTCTGTATAAAACCTCTTTTGGTGGAATACACTTTAAAAAAAACTAAAAAAAAAAACGAACACAAGTGCCAATTGGGTCGACAGCGGGACGAGAGGAGACACGGCTTTCAAACTTCCTCCCCGTGCTTCACATTTCCCCGGAAGCCCCCTCGTCTGATGACGCGACGTCGGGCCTCGGTCTAACACTGGGACTGTAAACAAGTTTCTAATACCACCATTCAGATGATCCTGTGAAGACTTCGGATCGGCCAATATTATCAGCACTGGTGAACGCCTTTTCTTCCCGATGTTCCCTCTCGTCAGGCCTTTTTTCTTCATCCGCGCGATGAAGACCTGTAAGTGGGCCGGTGGTGCTAAAAGGTGAGGCGGAGCTGGAGTGGGGCAGGTGAGGGCGGCGGCATCGGGCGGCGGCGGCGGCCGTCTAGTCGTCCTTCTCCACTATGACCTCGCCGTGAAGCACCCTCCTCCTCTGCCGCAGCATGTGGAAGAAGAGCTGAGGAAACACTGGGCGAAATACACCGAGTCCTTTGTCAGACGGGAAGAACGGAAGCTTTCTGAAGGTCGGAGGCCTTTTGGGCCTTTTGTAGCTTGTAGTCTCACGGAGCAGAAGAAGCAAGAAAAAAAAAATGCTCCTTACGTGGGATGTAGGACAACATGACGACGATGAGGCAGTAGTAGTAGTCGAAGGACACGTTGTACTTGTTGGGGAGCCTCATGGAGAACATTCCGGATCTGCGCACGAACGGCAGAGCGGCGTAGATGGTCAGCAGTTCCCCGGCGACTCCCAAGGGGTACAAGACGATGAAGAGGTTGTACCTAGAGGGGGGGAGGGGGGGTGGAACACGAGGCGCACGGGGTCACACACGCGGAACAGACACCCGCCGGATGTTGAGACAGTCACGTGCTTAGATGTGCGCTTATCATGCGTTCGGGCCCCAAGCGAGTGGGCGAACGCTTTTGATGCCTACGGTGCACAAGAAGCTGGTTTCACCTCTATAATCTATTCAGCAAACCGGCAACGTCACGTAGAGATGTGGTCCGTATTCATCATAAAACTGACCCCCCCCCTGTCCCCTGCCCGTTCGGCGGAGACCCCCAGCAGAGGCGCGTCTCGGCCGGTGCGAGAGAAACGCCGGGCGAACATTCCATGACCAAAACAGATGGGTCTCAAAAGCACGAGCAGCTGAACATGAGCCGCTCGCCGGGGGCCTCGGCGTCTCCGCGTGCTTTAAAGAAAGCTGTGAAGGGTGTGTGTGTGTGTGTGTGTGTGTGGTAAGGGGGGGGGGGGGGGGTTAGGGGGTTCGCGTTCTGAACCTCTCTGTCTGCAGAGACTTCTCTCATTGTGCTGACGTGACGGGTGTCACTGACGGACAGACGGACAGCTCGCCTTCCTGCCAGCGGCGTCCCGCACGGCGGCACGGAGGCCTCAATGACGTCACTCTAGGGCTGAGGGACGAGGTCACCGACCATCGCCAGACCGGTTTCCTGTGGCTTTACAATTTGTGGAAAGGTGTCGTTGTGGGGATTGTTTTCAGAGGTTAAAATCTATTTTCTGTTTTACTGGCTCCACAGAGCTGCCGGAGCACAACGTCAGCAGTCAGTTCACACAACGGCTAACGAGGGGCAATGAACACACACACATGCTTCGCTTCTCTGTGTGAGCCGGCCGACACACACACACACACACACACACACACGAACACACACACACACACGCACACGCGCGCGCGGCTGAACTACTTCTTGACGTGAAGCCGGTTTAAACAACAGCGTCCGACACGTTAGGGATATTTCAGCGAGGGACGCGGCGTCTCCACCTGGCCCATTTGATGAAGTACGGCAGGTGGTGCAGCAGGTTGAATGTGTAGTAGGAATATCTGGTGATCTCCGTCACCGTCCACACAACCAGGAATAGGATTACGCTCTCTTCATTCTGGATCTTCATTGAGAAAAAGACACAGGCAGGCAGGCAGAGGAAGGAGGGAGTTTTTGAAACAAGGCGAACAAATGCAAATATGTGGAATACAAAAGAAATAGAACTATAGCAAAGCACGTGGAGTCTCGATTTACTTTTTACATCACATGCATTAAATAGACACATAAAAGAAGATGGCTCATTTAATTAGATTTGTCCCAATGAACTCTGTAAGTTACTTTTATAACAAAACATTATCCACTGCAGGTGTGTGTGCACAATCATATTACATATTAATTTCTGTGCAAATCCGTCTCACGGACAGTAAAGAAAACCAAATGAAGTTGATGCTCCTCTCCATCGGTGGGATAACGGGATGGAAAACCCCTCCTCACCTGTCTGATGCTGTTGGTGATGAACCAAACCATGAAGATCCGCGAGCACACCTGCACCCCGGTGACGATCACGGAGGTCCTCACGATGCCTGCAGCGCGGCGGGAGAGAAAAGCCAGAGTTCACAGCCGCCGACACGCCGGCTGGTAAATGCGTTGAATTTGTCAACGTCACAAACAAAGTCCTCACGTACCTAACGCACAATGTCCCACCTGGAAGACGAGACACATCAACGTCAGTTACTTCTCTCGCCTACTTTTATCTAAATTGTTTAAATCCCAGTGTGATTCCGCTGGAGTTCTTACCTCAACTAATGCAAAGGTCTGGAAGAACTTGAGTGTTCTGGCTATGCTTCTGTACAGACCCTTGTGTGTGCCTTTGTGGATGTAGAAGCGCATCATCGCCAAGGCCAAAACCAGCCACCTGCAGGACAGAGAAACCTGACAACTCAAAGGCTCCACTTGGTGAGAGACGGCGGAGGATAGAAGCTGAAACTGGTCCCGTTTAATGACTCATTACAGAAGACGGTGTCGCAGTTTGTTTCTCCAGAACCCAGTTTGTTTCTTTTTAACATGTTATGATGATCACAAATGACTTATCTAGTGAAATAAAGGTTAAATGAAACATAACGATGAAAGTATTGATTAATGAGAATGTGAAAGAACGTGAAAATCCTGTTATTCAACACATGTGCACGCTGCGTTTTCCAACACGGGAAATGCACAATTATTTGAAACTAAAACCTGCATCTTCTCCGTGTTCCGTTAAAAGCACGTTTGTCTCTGTTTTCTTCCGCAAAAGAGCTCGTGCATAAAATCTTCTCTCTCGGTCCTTTTCCAACAACTTTTCCAAAACTATTTATTCATATTTATCAGCTTTTGAATCATCACCGCTGTAGAAATAAGATCCTTTGCAAAGCAGACGGCAGCAACAGTGAAATCCAGCTTTCACACGAATGCGAACGAGTTCTAATAATCTACCAGGATTTAACAGTAAAAACGGTTAATACTGATGTATTCATCATACTATCAAACACTGCTGGGCCCACAAAAACCAAATCAAAACCTGCCAGATGACTCATTCATTCATTCATTCATGTGCAACATCAGTATCATTGTTAATGCATGTGGAATATAAAATATAAACGCTTCACCTCGTAAGTGGAGTCACGTGTCAAACCCTCAATACGAATCTACTCTAATTGTACTGAATTGCTTTTTTTGCATTTTACTCATCCAATCATACAGGTTTACTTTTAACTTACTTCTAGACTGTGGTATTGTTACAGTACTTCCACCACTGGAGGCCTGTTATCCGTCCGCCACCGACCCGACAGACGATTGACAAGTGACGTGTTTTTAATTCCCATCTGGACAGTTTATATAAATAACCACAAATGTTTATTGTAGTTATTTAAAAAACAATAATAATAAAAGAACTGCACATTGAGCATTTCCGTGTCCCAGACCGGAGCTCCAGTGTCATCGCGCTCCGGCTAAACTTATCGCGGCCTCCGTGGGACGCGCCGCGTGCGCCTCGACGCCGACGCGCGCGCAGCCCTATTTGGACACGGCTGCAGCCCGAGCGCGTCGCTTCAACCAAAACACGATTCATTCATTTCACCAACACGCACGCACACGCACGCAAATCGCCCGCGCTCCTTTTGATCCTATGAAACATATGAAATTGTTCCATAAAAGTTTGCCACCGGTCGAGCGCGCCGGAGGGACCGTTTGGTCTCACCGCAGAGACGCGGAGTCCTAAAAACAGCAACATGCGCCCACAGTGTCCCAGGGAGCGGATCACTGGAACTTCTGGGGCTTTTTCATACGCGGGGAGGGTGGGGGGGTAACGCACGTACCCGGCGGTCATGGCGATGTTGTAGAAGGTCAGCCATGCGGTGGCAATGGCGCTTTTTGTTCTCCTCTTGTTGTTGTTTTCCTTCTCCTCAACCGCACCGTCCTCCTCGCTGGACGCCATGGTACCGGGGGCAGGGTGGTAGAGGAGGGGGGGGGGAGGGGTGGGAGGTGGGGGGCAGCTGACAGCTGGCCGGGGTGGGTACAGAGAAGAGCAGCAGGGTGACGCGCGTTCTTGTTATCATATTCCGCCACTAGGTGGCAGTGTTTGAACACGGTAACCGCCTCACGGGACGTTGCTGGGCCCGCGTACCTTTTGATAGTCCCTGACCTTGCTGTTGCTGTTGCTGTTGCTCTGGCTGAGTCCAGCACTTGTGTTTTGCTGGTTTTACAGAAAGAAAATACAGGGTAGAACTCATGCATGAAATGTTGAAGACGCAGGTCATCTGTTATCTGATCCTCGGCATCTTTGCAGCAGGGTGTCCAGCACCAAATGCTCCCAAGATGTCCGTAGGACCTTTATGTCCCCCGGGGTGCAGAGCTACACGGCCTTTTGTATAAAGAGAGCAAAGGCCCGGCCGCGTCCCCGTCACGGCGAGCCACACAATGCCTACTGCAGTGTAAGCAGTTGGGGGTTCTAGCAGGGAGCCGCGCGAGCCGCGGCGCGTGGAACATGCTAGCGGAGGCAGACAATGCGACGGCCCGAGGCCCGACCAGCCCTCGCAGGGACACGGGGCGCCTCCCCGCCCCCCCCCGTCTCCACCCCTGCTTTTTTTCCTGAGCTCCGCGGCATGGGCTCGGGGAGGACGCTGAAGTTCGCCCTGTGCGAGGTGCTGCAGTTCGCCGGCCTGTGCGCGCCGCTCTTCGTCGTCATGCAGCGGTTCGCCGGCGTCGCCGCGAAGGTCAAGGCGTCGGCGAGGCCCCACGGGGACGGCGCCACGGCCTACTGGTTGATCGTGGCCTCCTCTATTGCCTACGTCACCTCCACCGCCCTGCTGGTCTGGGTACCCATGAAGTACATGGTCTTCGTGAAGAACAAGTTTCTCGACGGGAGGAGGAAGTGGTGCGTTCCTCCGGCCTTTGTCCAGGAGTCGGGGGAAGAGGGCGACCGAGCAGCGGTTTGGTCTGCGGCCGGTTGGGAGCGCAGCTGACTTTGTGTTCTTTGCTCACATTCTTTACCTTCCTTTGTCTTTGTACCAGGAGGCCTGTGGCCCTCGTCTATGTGATCCTCTCGACGCTGCCCTGCTTCGCCTTTCTCGTCGCCAGCTCTAAGGTACGGCATCACGTCAGTTCATCTGTACGATGCTCATGAACTTTGACCCCCCCGTGGTACCATATTTATAGCAAGAGTCAGACTGTTACTGTTGATCCCTTAGTAGTGTATTAAGAATACTAAAATAATCTTCTTGAAATGATTCTTGTGAGTGGAAGCACAGTGTGTGATTGAAACGTAAGCGGTGATTTGTGAGGAGCCCTTTGGTTCTCAGGGGATGAATATGGATAAGGAGCTACTGATAAGCAGCTTGGGCCCTCTTCCTTTCCAAGCTGCCCTTGTCAAATCATCTGTGAATGAGGCACATTCTCACTTCCTGGCTGGCTGAGGCCCAGCTCCTATTTGCTGTTTCATGTGGAGCCTGAGCTGACCTTTTAACCTTTGCTTATCTGGTGTCTTTTACATGAGAGCCATAAATTCTGCTAAGAACACCAGCTTTTCTGCTTAAAGTGCCCTCTTGGCACAAAGTCCTGACTCAGCCTAAAACCAGCACTGCAAGAGACTTAAGCCCACAAACCCCGAACTAAGGGATGTCAGACACGGGTCCGATAATCCTTGCTGCCCTTTTTATTGACTTGAATTAACGCGTTCCATTTTGACATCAAGTGATTGGCTGTAAATGCTCCGGTGTGTTTTGACTAACGGTTCTCTGTCTGTTTGCCCAGGTTCAGCTAAATAACAACATGAAACATGATGCGTTCACAGAGCTCCCCGTCTCACTAGTCCTCTTCTCGCTCATCTGCGTTGACCTCGTGGAGAGGATACGCCACTGCAGGCTGACCGGCCAGGGTGAGCACCACTTACCGAGTGCGTCGGGTCACGCCTCCAGGAGACGCACGGCTATTTTATGCGCGTCATCCAGAAGAGCCGGTTTCTTTGGCTCCGGGCCGGCAGTTGAACTGACCTTTTTTTTTTGCAACCGCGGAAGCGAGCAGGACGTTTGAAGCTCACTTCTTGCAACACGGTGCTGAAGTGACAGAACGTCAGTGTTGTTTTACTAAAGCGGGGAAACTGTCTCGGGACGTTTCCTCCACAACCGCTCAAAAGATCACCGGCTGCACTGTGATCACAAGTTCTGGTGGCGCTGTATTGTGTCTTAACAGATTTCTCGCTGACCAAACATCATTCAAACAAAAATCATGCCGAATATTATGATTAAAAAAAGGAACTCTTTTACTTTTCTCGGCCCTCAGCTAACGACGGGGAGAGAGATGCCCACATCCCGTCCTCTGTCCTCACTCACGTGGAGCAGGTAACACCCGTCGCCCCAGCTGTGCCCGGGCAGCCCGGGCCGGCGCCCCAGCACAACGACGGGAACCCCAGCGGGGCCGACGGGACGGCCGGCGATCCCGGGGGGCCGCCCAGCGTCTCCGGCCTGAGCTCGCGGTCGGCGAGCACCGCGGCGGGCCGCTCGTCCCAGTGCGCCCACGGGGGCCCGCCGAGGTCCCTGTGCGCCTGCGACCCCCGGGCCGACGTCTTCGTGGACAGCTTCATGTTCTGGATGGATACAGTGGAGATGGTGAGGGTGGCGGGACTCCCCGGCGTCTACTACTCGGGCTGGGTGTTCCCCGTCTACATCTTCAGCTTCCTGTCTTGCCTGCGCGTGGTGGCCATGCCCCAGAGCCCCCTGCTCTCCTCGCTCGGCGTGGCGCTGCAAGACTTCCCCTTCTTCTTCGTGCGCGTGGCCCTGGTCGCGTTCTTCGGCTTCGTCACACCCGTCCTCTACCTGATGAAGAACCTGTTGGTCTGCCTGGCCTTCGTCTATTTCAACTTCATGACCAGGCTGAGGGTCTTCAACACGGAGAGGATGTTCTTTTGAGAGCGGCGAAGACAGTTCAGCATTAAAACACGCGGCGGGAGCCACAGGCTGGTCCCGTCGGGAGGAACGCGGGAGGGTTCAGGAGGCGGCTGCACGGCGTCTTACAAATAACTTTAAGTTATAGTTTTAAGAAAAGCTGCTGCGGCCAAACCAAAGTATGAATTTGTGACACAGCAGAGATATCCTGTCCAAGTGCTTGATGTTACTTTTCATAAGCTAAAAGGGAGCTCTGAGACAATGTTTTCCCATAAAGGGCATCATTTGTGGTGTCACTCATTATTTAACTGTTTTACCCCTCACCAGGAATGACACTTTGTATACCTGTAATGTCATTTGAGATTTTATATCAGATTTCTTTTTTCTACCATCATTAAGTGCAGTGAATATGTACAAGCATGAATCCATGTTTATATTAGGTTTTTATTTCTGAAAGAAAAATAAAGTGTGCGTTTGTACCATTGAAACACATACATACAGAAAATGAGTTTCAGTTGTGTGAGTTTTCATGTATGTTGGAATAGATCCCATTTCTTTACCATCACTGCTGTCATTGGTCTGCAAAACAATCACCTGCTATTGCAAAGCACAAGAGGACTGCAAAATATTGATGTATATTGTTAACAGATTTATTTTCTAAAATCATCCTAGTCAACCTTGATAAACCGACTGTACACTACCGACACAACAACAAAAAGACACGTTGCAACCAGCCGATGAAAATTGTTCAGCGTTTTGCAGATGAAGAGCCAGTTATTGTCTTTCTTGGTAGAATCCACAGAAGAGCTAAAAGTAAAGATATTATTGGATTTATATTGTTGATATGGCGAGAACCGTGACTACAAATGAACAATGATGTTGCTCCGATTATAAAGACAACTTAATAATAACTTTATAAGGTAAGTTAATATTGTTTGTTTTCAACTTCTTGGTTCGGTTATTTATAAATACAAACTAGTCTGATAAAAATGTAAAGCCATGGTGAATGCATTACTTAAATACAACTCTAAATGCTGATTCCCCTATAAAAGTATGCTTAATTTGACATGATTAGTGAGTCACAAGTTTAACACAAAGTCGCAACCTCTACAAATGCTGTTTCTTTACAATAATCCTTTGAGATTTTTTACATTATGTAATTTTGGTGTTGGATTTCAGTTCATTACTGCACAATTTGTAGCGTTAGACACAGCTTTGAGTCCATGCAAAGGTATTTGTCCCATTTCTGTGCACTATTAGGCATCTCTGCAGACGCTATAATGCCAACGTGGTCAGATGTCCACTTGCTTCCCCCAATAGGAAGCAGGATTTCCTCCCGTTATCCCTCTCGACTAACTTGTATCATCCCTGCACTCCTCACCCGAAGCCCCCGCGGACCCTCTGGGGGAAACTGTCCCACAAAAAACCCCTCACATCAGCAAACTGCTGACTATGACCAACCGTAGCAGCGCATGTGACAGGAAACCCATCGGTGGGATTAAGGGGGGAAAGCACCGCGTCTCTGTGTCATTGTCGCTCCTCAACACGCACCTCAGCGCACACCAGACCACTTCTTTCATAACTGGAAAACTCTTCCACGATCACATCCACACCTCCAGGATAATGTCCCCCTGCTCTCATGTGGCTGTGGTCCTCGGCCTCCTGCATGTCCTCTGCGTCACTGCAGACATAGGTACGTACACCGGACACACGCTATCCCCTCGTGAGTAGAGCTTACGAGAGCGACTGGTCCGTAAAAACACTTTTGTTGAAGCTGTTTCCTTCTGCTCCAGACAGCGGCTCCTTCCTGATCTTCAACGAGAACCACAACAAGTGCATGAAGGTGGAGAGTGCCACGTCCATGACGGTGGCCCCCTGTGATCCTCATGCCAAGAACCAGCAGTTTCGATGGGCCTCCGAATCGCGCATCCTCAGCTTGTCCCTCAAGCTCTGTATGGGGGCCACACAGATTAAAGACTGGGTGAAGGTGCTCCTCTTTGAATGTGACGAGAGCAGTAACCTCCAACATTGGCAGTGCAAGAATGAGACCCTCTTTGGCCTTAAAGACCAGGACCTGCACTTGAACTGGGGCAACAAGAATGAGAGGAACATAATGATCTACAAGGGCTCAGGGCTGTGGAGTCGCTGGAGGATATTTGGCACACAGGAGGACCTTTGTTCGAAGGGTTTTCAAGGTAGGAATTGTGGGAACACGATCAATTTCAATAAAGAAAGCTCCGATAGTGTAAATATTATTAATTATTATTAGTATTCATAAATGTTGGACGGGTGATTTTGAAAGTCCAGCTATGGGTTTTTTTCTGCAAAATCCGCCCATGTCAGATATGTCCTTTTTACATTCTGCATATTTTCATTTTTTACCAAGTAGAGTCTGCATTGTAGAGCGAGTAACGATCCGTAGCCGTAGACTATGTGTAAAGAAACATCTCAAACTGTTAGTGTTACATGATCTGAGATTCTGTTTGACTTGTATTTTCAAAAAAAGTTCACTATACTTCCCTCCTGTGCACATGCTGCCCCTCAGCTACAAGGGTAGGTGACAGTGTGAGAGAGGCCCTTCTTTGACATGTCGCCACCTTTCTGCATCAAACAGGTCCATTAAGACATTGTTCTCGTTATTTTCTAAGAACTTGACTGGCCGCCACAGAGGCTTGAAAATGTATTCTCATTAAACCCGGTTCAGAGCTTGAACGGTGAGCTCGGCTTTCTCCCCAACATCAGTGAATGCTTCAGACAGATTCCTGAGTCTTTAAAATAACCTTGCAGGAGAGTCTCTGTCAGGTCAACAATCACACTTGTGTCCAGTGTCCTGGTCAAGGGTCCACACACGTTTAGGCTGCTGATTTGCAGGCTTTGCGCGTGTTTCGGTCATCTTTAACTTCACGCTCTGTGTCTCCTCAGAGGTTTTCACGATAGGGGGCAATGCCTTTGGAGGACCCTGTCAGTTCCCATTTAAGTTTCAGGAGAAGTGGTACGCCGAATGCACAAAGGACGGCCGCACAGATGGACAGCTGTGGTGTGCAACGGAGCGAGATTACGACAAAGCCAAGAAGTGGGGCTTTTGCCCCAACACAGGTAAGAAGCATCATCAACAGCCCTCGGAGAGCTGATCTTTTTCAATCCTCTTTCGTTTGTCTTATTGTTCCCTCGCTGTCCTTAAAATCCCTTCACCCCATTCTTCGGTTTACTCTCACCTTTAAATCGTTGCGTCTCGACCCCAATGCAGCATCCTCGGGTTGGGACAACGACCCGGTCACGGGGGTTCAGTATCAGAGGAACTTGGGGTCAGTGTTGACCTGGTCCCAGGCCAGGAAGAGCTGCCAGCAGCAGGGAGCCGACCTCCTCAGCATCGTGGAGCTACACGAGCAGTCGTACATTTCAGGTACAGAGTCAACCCGCGAGTTCCACAATGTCGTGTGCTCGACCTGACAAAAAACACATCTGCGTTGCGACGATTGTCTCGACGCAGGGTTGATAGATACTTTGGGGACGTCTCTCTGGATCGGTCTGAACAGCTTGGATTTTGAGAGCGGATGGCAGTGGAGCAACGGGAACCCGTTCAGATATTTAAACTGGGCTCCAGGTATGTGAAGACTAGTACTGCGACAGGGGCAGGGCCTTAGCACCGCATGCTGACAACAGTGAGCTACAGTCAGCTACTGACCGTTAATGTTGGACGAATGTTTCCGATAGGTCATCCGTCGTCGGAGCCCGGACTCACCTGTGCAACACTCAATGCTGCCAAGGCCTCAAAATGGGAGAGCAACGTGTGCACCAAGAAACTCGGTTACATTTGTCGCAAAGGAAACTCGACCAGTCTGCCGCCACCACCAAGTAAACAACACCGCAGCTCCCAAATCATCCGGCTTTACTAGAGCGAGTCGGAATGTGTTCCCAGCGCCTTCGGTTTCTCTCCTCAGACAAAGACCAGCCCAGCTTCTGCCCCAGTCACTGGGTCCCATACGGGGGGAACTGTTACTACCTGCAGAGGAAAAAAGAGATGTGGAAGGACGCTCTGGCCGCGTGTCACAAGGACGGAGGAGATTTGGCCAGCATACACAATATAGAAGAGCAGAGCTTCATCCTGTCTCAGTCTGGATACTGTAAGTGTGCAGTAATAATGGCTTTTACGAGCCCCCCCGTGTGAGGAATGGTGCCGCATTAACGTGTGAACTTAAACCCGCCAGTGCCGACAGACGTGCTCTGGGTTGGCTTGAATGATCTGAAGAACCAGCTGCTGTTTGAATGGTCCGATCAGTCCCACGTGACCTTCACCCAGTGGCAGACCGACGAGCCGTCTCATCACGCCGGCCTCCAGGAAGACTGCGTCGTCATCAGGGGAAAGGTAACGAACGCGAATGGTGACGGGCGGATGGAGCGATGACTTGAGCTGGTGCTGTTCTGAGCTGCTGAATGTGGCCCGAAACAGGACGCCAGGTGGGCCGACCGCATGTGCGAGAAGACGTACGGATACATCTGCAAGAAGAAGGCCTCAACCAGACCGGCTGAAGGCGCCCAAGAGGAAGCCAACCCGGGCTGCAAGCTGGTGAGTGATTTCATTCAATGTGGCCACCATGCAACAAAGCTTTTAGCGGATTTCGTCTCATTCTGTTTTTGTTTTTTTAAATCTTCACAAGGGCTCAATCCGATTTGGTTCTTATTGTTACAACGTTGGATCTGAGACCAAAACCTCTGATGAGGCAAAGCGGGCGTGCTCAGCGGCTGGTGCTCACCTGGTGGATGTGGCTGACAGGTATATCATTTTGCGTTGCCCCATATTGAAGTGTAGTGAAAAATTTGTCTGTGAAATTTTGCTTCACTAAAAGTGAAGATTAACTTGCACTTAATCCTAAAATCTTATTTTGAAAAAATAACTGCACCCATTTCTGCTTTGACATGTTTTCACGCAGATACGAGAATGCCTTCTTAATCAGTTTGGTGGGTTTGAGGCCAGAGAAGTATTTCTGGACAGGTTTATCCAACACAGACGACATCCACACTTTCAAGTGGAACACCAGAAGAAAAGTCACGTTCACTCATTTCAATGTGGACATGCCAGGTACAGCACACGTCTCTCTAGCTGTCCTACACATTGTGTGTTCTGTTCATTTATACATTACATTTTGACTGGAAGGTTAGAGGTTTTACTTTTAACTGCGCTAAAAGCATCAGTCAGTGTTTTTAAATGCCCGCAAAACTGATCCTGTTTACCATCTGCCTTCACTGCAGTTTACTTTAGTGCAAATGTTAAAGCATATTAACTCAAAGCCTTCATGCAGCCCCACGAGATATTCACTCTGGATCTCAGTACTTACTCCATGACACCTTCCTTGGTTGTAATGATTTGCATTTCTTTGGCCGCGTTCACCAAAAGACCGAAACCAGGGATGCGTTGCCATGACGACTGGTGTTTTTGCTGGACTGTGGGACGTTGTCAGCTGCAGCAACAAGGAGAAGTACATCTGCAAGAAGCCAGCAGAGGGTGTACCTGTGACAACGGTCCCACCCACCACCATCCCCTTGAGCTGCCCGCCCGGGTGGACCCCCGCTGGCAAGAGGAGCGTCTGCTTCAAAGTAGGAGGACAAACCGAACTAATGGAAAAATGGTGTGACTCTGAGTACCCTAATCTCTTTCTTTTTCCGCTCATTTAAAAAGGTTTACAAAAAATCAACCGCCGAG